AGCCCCCCCCTTCCAGCACCCCGGTTTCACCCCTTACCTGGGCCAGCTGCTCCCCAGGCTTCTCCAGGGAGACTTGCTCCAGCTCCTCCTGCTCCTCCCTGCTCAGCGAGGAGGCGTAGAACGGCAGCACCTTCTCCTCCTCGGTCTCCAGCTTCCGACACATCTCGGCCAGCCGCAGGGTGAGCTCTGCCTGCGGGGCAAGCGAGGCCTTAGCGGGCCGCTTGGGGACGGCTCGGCGAGCAGTGTGCTCTGGACACCAGGAGGGGACGCTTTTCCTGGGGGGTGCTGGATTGTGTTGACAACGCAGGGGGACGGCAGGAGAAGTGTCTCCCTGGGGCCAGGAAGGGATGATGGGTTTGGGGGAAGCGAGTCTCCCACCAGCCAGGCTGCATGGCTGGGACTTCTCTCTGCTGCCTGTCCTGGACAGGGGCAACGGTGAGCTGCATTTGGCCAGTGCTACTCCAGGCATGCATGGGAGAGCAGGTCCCCATGGGCGGGGCAGAGGCCTCTCCTGCAGGGTTAGGGGAACTCCGGCCTTTACCTTTTCGAGGACGCCCCTTAGCTTCTTCAGGGCAGTGCTGCTCTCCAGGGTGAGCTTGGCCAGGTTGCTCCTGGCCTTGGCCCTGGCCTGGTTCATCTGGCTCTTGAGTTTCTGCAGCTGCTTGAGGACAACCTCCTTCTCCTCGTGCACACGCCGGTTCTGCTCCTCGGCCTCCCGCATGTGTGCCGCGATCTTGCCTTTCAGGATGCCAATGGAGTCCTGGCAGGGAAATGGCACCCGGAGCAGTCAGTGAGTTGTTCAGCGCACCAGGAACCCCACGACCCCCCAAGAAGGCCTGTTTCCTACAGCCAGGGCTTGGGGTGGGGCAGCCTCACTGACCTGAATTTTCTGCAGCTTCTTCATCTGCATCTCAATCTCCTTGGAGCTCTTCTCATCCTTCAGCTTGAGGGCCTCAAATGCAATCTTCCGGTCCTCTGTTGCCTCGGTGTAGTTCTTCAGCGCCTGCTGGAACCGCTTCCACAGCTCCTCCACTGTGCCCTCCAGCTGCACACGCAGATAGTGCTTCTCCTCCAGGTTCGTGGGGGGGGGGGGGAAGACATGTTAGCCCCTCACCCACCCTGAGCCACCAGCCATGCCTGCAGAGCCCACCCCAAGGGCTGGAACCCAAACCCCAGGAGGGAAGCTCCCTCCCTCCAGTCCCACTGGGACTGGGCAGCCCCCTAAGCTGGCAGTGGGGAGGACCTTGTGGTAGAGATGGACTCTTGCCCATAGCCTGTGCCTTAGCAAGCCCTGCACACATAGGAGTGAGGGGGAGGGGCTCCTCACCAGAGTCCGCCACCAGCTGCTGGCTGAAGAACCAGAGGAAGGCTGGTGTCACCAAGCCCCTCCCCTGCCCCAGGCTGGCACGGAGCAGCCTCGGCCCAGACCTTGTTCTTGACGTCGTCCCTGGTGCTCTGGAAGTCCAGCTTGGCCTCGTACTCGCTCTCACTGAAGCTCTGCTCCAGGGCCAGCAGCACATCCCGCAGGTAGCGGCTCTCCTTGTCATGGTGCTCGATGATCATCCCCCTGGGGAAGCCGCAGGTGAGCTGCCAGGGCTGGGCCAGCCTGGCCCGCGGAGGGGACGGGAGAGCGGCTGATGGCTGCCCAGAGAGCTCTGGGGAGCTGCTCCACAGGGGGCTAGACCTGGGACGCAGCACAAGAGCCTCATGGCCAGGGATGAGGGCTCGTGGCCCCAGGGCACCATCAAGCTGCCTCCTCATCCCTGTGTTCATCACCTGCCTGTCTGTGCCCTCCCCCAAAGCGGGCGATCCTCGCCCCCCCCCCCGTACCTTTCTGTCTCAAACTCCTTCTTCAGGGCCTCCCGCTCGGTGTTGTAATCCTCATCCAGGTACCTCAGGCGGCACCGCTGGAGCTGCAGCAACTGGTCGATGTTGTGCAGGTGGCTGCACAGGGCATGAGTGTACTGTGCCTCGGCCTCGGACAGGTCCCTGGCCAGCGACTGTGGATGACCGAGAACACTCAGGACTGCAGCGCCGGCCCCAGAGCCTCCGAGCGCTGTTACCCCAGCAAGCTCAGCGGCAGCGAGGGCTGCAGGGCGCATGGAACCCTGGTTTGAGCACGTTTGCCCTCCTGCAGCACTTCCTCTCCTTGGGGGGCATTGCTAGCCACTCTTCCAGCCCTGTTCATGGACCCACAGAGCTACGCACCCCTCCCAGCTCACCCAGCTGGGACCCCCACTGCTTACCCGGATGACACTGTCCTTGCAGTCCACCACCCGCTCAAAGGTCTGGCTCAGGATCTCAATGTCCTTGCGCAGTTCTCTGGCCTTGACTTCCCGCAGCACCGTGCGCCACTGCAGGTTGATTTTATTCATGTTGAGGGCGCTGTTGTGCTCCTCCTTCGCCAGCTTGTCCTGGGGGGTGGGTCACAAGGTTACACTGGCCGGGTGGGAGCACATCCCAACCACCTACCGGTATCTAACCCGCTCACGTGGAACCTGCAGCCCCAAGCACTGCGCAAGCTCCAGATACTCCGCCAGCTCCCAGCAGCGTGCGACAGAAGGACTGACGGGGACGCCCATCACGTACCGCACTGGTTCAGCATTACGAGGGGAGAGCCCGGTGCAGTCTGGGCAGAGAGCCCGGCTCACGCGGGAGAACAAGGCCCCGGAACGACAGCTCCCTTGGGGGGGACGTTTCAGAAGCAAAATTGTAGGTTTCGATTGTTGGCCCAAAAGTCGACATTTTCTGTCGAATGCCCCCACCCTCCCCAAGCCATTTTCCTGCCCAGCTCCAGGTTCCAGATCAGCTCCCAGCGCCCAGGGGGCAATTCGCAGGGGGCACTAAACGGGCCCTGGAGCGGGGCACCCCGCCCCGCCTGCGCCCTGGGCCTCGCCTTCAGGAACTGGGTGAGCATGTCCTCCTTCTTCTTGCTCAGCTCCTCCTCCGCCAGCATCTTCTGCTGCATCAGCAGCAACCGCTCCTCCTCGCTCAGCGCGGCCGCCTTGCGCCCCTTCTTCGGCATGGCTGCGGGGCTGGGGGGAGCCGGGTCAGACGCTGCCCAGGGGCGCCCCCCACCCTGCACAGGGTCCCTGGTCAGAACCCTCCTCCCCGGCAGATGGCCCCCTCCCCCCTACGGGCCCCCTGCCCCCACGGGCCCCCTGCCCCCATGGGCCCTCTGCCCCCTCCCCCCATGGGCCCCATCCCCCCACGGCCCCCCTGCCCCCATGAGCCCCTCCCCCCACGGGCCCCCCAGGGGCCCTCTGCC